CACTTGCTGAGCCGGGATGACTTCGCTTTGGAGCAGCAGCTCAGCTTTAGACACGAAGTGTTACTGTATAACATGATATATATATATATATATAGATGCTGTTAGCTTGTTTTTGGCAACGTCGCCGTTAGCGGCTGTGGGTATTTTGCACACGCTTAACGGAAGAGTTCAGAGACTGCTTCCCAAAGGTTCTGACAGCGGATCCGGGCATTGTGCCGCCACTGCCACGCGAAAACCCAGTTATATATGCATATCTGGATTCACTAGACGACTCTTGACATTTGTGGCTAGTTCTTTTGGTATGAATTCTTTGAGTCCCGCAAGGCATCCAGTGCCCGTGAGCGAAGACGACGGCGACACCCTCCGAACCTCACTCAAACCCCGCAAAACACCCCTAAACGCAACCTCGTAACCAAACCCCCCGCCCAAAAAAACAACCTCACTGGAACCCCGCAAACCACCTATAAACGCAACCTGGCAACCGGAAGTTGACAAAAAGTAGCAAAATGGTAGTAAAAAGTAGCAAGAAACTCACAGCCGCGAACGGCGACGTTGCTTTGTTTTTGCATGTTATGGCAAGAACATGCCCTTGTGAGGAACTTGAACTTATTCTATAGTGAACCTATTAAGTGCTTGATCATTAAAACTAATTGTATACATAATATATAGTTTTGGGCGTTGGGAGAAGAGCTTCCCTGCTCCCTCAACCTGTACTGTACAGGCGGAGCAAATTGGAGTAAACCATGATTTTCCGCGGACAATTTGAGAGGTCAATGAGAGGTCATTCAACAGTCTTACACCTTGTTTGGAATGACTTGACCAAATCAGAGACATCACATGACCCAACTTGGAGTCATGCGTATAACAGGCAATCTACGCAGGCCTCTATGTTTTAGGGTCTTCCGGATAGTGCCTGCAGACTGGTTGTGTAAGACAGCTTGCGTTGGATAGTGTTTGCAGACCGGTTGTGTAAGAAAAATTCCTTGTTCCTTCTCTTAAAGTGCTAGTATTGTTCGTATACAGATAAATTGTGTACTGCTGACCGGGATTGGAAAAGCCCGGTTTTCTTCCGAGCAGAAAACCCTGAGGTTGTTCCTAGTCGATCCATGGGTTCGGGTGGATATGACAAGTTCTAGACTCTCTATTGTGCATGATTTGCAAAAACAACACTTCCGAAGGATCATCCTTTGATATGCGGAAACGTTACGAACACAGACTTCTATCAACGAACAAACTTGAGTCACTCGGGTCTTTGTTCTTTCCTCTCCTCTCTCCTCTCTCTCGTTGTATCTACACGCTACGCTAGATATTATGTACATCAAATATCTATATATCCAGCATCTCTCCATCACTCGATTTTACTTTCTCTCTCTCTTTCTCTCTCTCTCTCTCGTCCCACTCTCCCTTTGTCACGACGTTGCGTTTACGCTCCCAGGATGGAAGAGTGTGCCCCTGACTGGAAGGGGCACAAGTTTCTGAAGGCGAGGACACGGCGCTCTTCGGGCCGTGATGGGCCATGATGGGCGAAGCCAAGGAGTTCTGATCTGGTCAGGCGACCAATTCGGTGAGGAAATTAATATGAACATTCGATGGGATGTTTTTGTGGGTGTAAATTGGATCTCACGACCCTTCCTTAAAGTTTTGTTGTCCAAGATGCTGCGCCGAACGGTACATTGCTGAAAAGATTACTGGCCTCACCCGCTTGAAGAGAATGTTCTTAATCTGCAGAACATTTGCCAGGGGATTGAAGAGCCAAATCTTTTCTTTGATTCATTGATAATAAAAGACACCACCCCTGCTTCATGAATTCCTGGTGAATTTTAGAGAACAAACTGGACACTCCGTTGTGCGGCTGGAGTGCGGCTGCTCGTCCTTCGCACCATTTCCTGGTGCGACTCGTCTGGAATGAGGGAATGGCCCCCCAAGAGAGATTCCTTTCCATCCATTCCCTCATTCCTTACCCAGACCATCAGAATCTATAAACCCAACATTGACCCCTCAAACCACCCGAATGTTGGCAAATAGGCCACATAGATGGTTTGGGTTACGAGTTGCACCGGGCACCGGGTGCAGTAGTTTTCGCTCGGAAGAGGCTTTGAACCTGCCTCCCAAGAAGGAGCATCGTGGCATGTCTGAGTGCCTTGGGCTGTTTCAACATTGGTGCATTCTGAAGAAACCAAGGAGAACCAGTCGTGCGGTGTCATATGCATATTTGGAGATCTGAAGATGTCATACAGGCTGCCTTTCAAATTCATGTGAATGAACTACTTCTCATTCATTCTCATTCCTTTTATTCGTCAATTGAGTTGGCCCTTGAGATATAATATACACGGTGCGAGGCTTTTGATGTACCAGCGCAGACATATCTGGTGAAGGAACTGTACCCGTGTAGGAGTCAAAGGGGGGAAGAAGCCCTTTCGTTTGCCAGCACAGTTCGTCCGCTTTGTTTCATTAACCACCAACCACCAAACGAACTACTCAATAGAGGGCTGCGTGTGTTGCTACCAGCTTGGTCACAGTGGATCTTTTGCTCTGGACATTTCAGCGGCCCCCAAACAGCGACTGCCAAACTCTGTGACCGTTCTCCGAGCGTTCTCTAAGACTCGCGTTCTCCGAGCGACTCGCGAGCGATGTCGGTGGTTCCAGATGTTCAACTGGACTGCGAGCGAATAGACCTTTGACATCAATTGACATCATTTGACAAAAGCACTTGCTGCTAGAATTGAGCATTGACAGGCATTGGCTGGTCAGTTCTGTGGATTCCTTTTTGGACCAGACTGTGCTGTGCTTACACAGCGACTCACTCATGTGCGTGCAACACGATCGCTCTCGCTGCTGAGGATGCTCTCCCTAGAGACCTCTGAGGCAGAACGCCGTATAGCAGAGTGGGAGGAACAGGCAGAGACCTTTCAGAAAGAGGAAGAGCCATGAACAAAAAGCGGAGCGAAGAGATGCAATGCGGCGTCTTTAGGGACTTCGGGACTTTGTGCTTTCCTCGCCAAATTTTTATAAATTTTTGCGGGGCGTTCCAGACACAGAATTGGAGCCTTCCGAGCATGCATGCATCAGAATCTTGCCCAATCATTTTGTCTGATTCTGTGATCGAACAATAGCAAAAACTGAATTTTTTTCAGGCGGCCAAACAGACCAAACCATGGACTAGAACATCGAATGGAACGAACGGCGCTCGATGGGTCCCACCATGGGGCGCACCGGTCTCCCATCGAAGGGACGAAGGGAGAGCGGAAGGTCGGAAAGCCGTCGATGCATGTCGATACTGACGATAGGATACGCTGTAGGTGACATCAGTTGGCTTTTTCTGAAGTCAGGTGAGAAACTCAATGAAACTCAGGTACTTGCTCTTTCCCGGAAAGTCCTTCGACCACCGGCGGCAAGCTGGTGTGATGTGTCTCGCGTGCGGGCTGCTTCTGGCCGAGCGCCGCGCGGGCAGCGTGAAGGCGGCTTGGAGCGTCTTTGGGGATGGTTCAGCTGGCTGGTGGTTTGGGTGCGTGTGAAGGCGCAGCCTTGCGCTCTCTCACTCTCTCTCTCTCTCATAATACATATATAATCGAATCATATATATATATATTGTTTCTGTTGGGTGGGGGGATCAAGATGCATACAAGCTACTGTATGTTTGGTACAGAGCCACATGCAGTTTATTCTTTTTGAGGTCAATGAGATGGTCAACATTCGACGTGTGTATTGAAGTTTTGGAGGACACTACTTTTGCTATGAATTTTCATGTCGTTTGAGGTGCTTTGATGCACCTTTGTGTGAATTGTGTGAATGTATGTACTTTTTGGGGTGAGCATAGCTGGATGGCATCGGATTTCTGGATCTTATATGATCTTATGATGCAGTAGATAATCTACCATGCCATGACCCCCATATTTACTAGTCCAGGCTGCATCACCTGTTCTATGTCCGGAGCTGGGCATCGGACAACGTCGTAGTTCCCTCGGTGCCTGACGCTTCCGTGTTCAGCGGTTGGATCCCGCAAAGCGAATCACAGTGGTTCCTGGTCAAAAGCGCCTGGCAAAACCACCAACGCTTAGTTCAACGTTGTGACGCAGGCATCCTGCAGGGTCTTACCTCCTGCCGTGCTTTCTTGGAGTTCCTTTGTGTCCGTTTCACGGTCCCGTGAAAAACCGAGGATCAGGTCTGGCGCCGTGGCTTCTTGGCGGTGCCTGAAGGAATCAGAGGGCTTCTTCGGTCACCCAAGGTCGAAGATGAAGCAACTGATCGGCTCAAAGCGGAGGAAAACCAGCACGATCGGTGACGGCGGATGAGAAGTGATGAGAAGGTTGGTTCGAACGTTGTTCAGCCACAAGAACTTGAAAGCAAATGAGATGGGTGAAGATTTCTGGGGTGACACGTTGTGGGGTACGAACAAAGAAATCCATCCTTGGGCCGCTGAGTCTGCTGTTTCAGAGCTGCACAGAGTTACTATCCGTCCTACAAGTTGGATGAAGTAGCTTTGACCATGATGGTGGACCTCACCTTCGTGGAATGGGACACCCAACCACTCCCCGAAACCGAAGGAATCTGAAGGAGCCAAAGCAAAGCTTAACAAGACATGAGTGACTTGGTCCAAAACAGCACCCTCAGCAACAGGTCTCCTGGGTACAGCTTATTGGTGTCGACAAGTCGGACCCTTTGGGATGATGTTTGGCGGATCCGGTCCCCCCTTATTTCAAGCCGTCCGCTTCCAGAAAGTCTCCATCCGCTTAACCTAAACCACTGGGACATGACCCGAACCCCTCCCCAACAAAGGAACAGAACAGGTGCTGGGAGATGAACTTGGATGATTTTTGTGCTAAACGGGCTAAACCTTACAATGTTGTAATCCACAGGGCTGATCAGAGCTCTTCACCGTTATTTTATGTACTTTTATGTCTAGTAGTAACAAAGGGCATCGCTTCTAGTAACAAGTGCCTTACTAGTAGTAACAAGAAGCTCCTTTAGTAGCGTCTCTGCTCCTGCCCCCCCCCCGCTAGGCTGGCCGAGCTATGGCGGCCTGGGTGCGCCTCTTGGGCTTTGGTGTGCGTAGGCAGCGATGGACGACGTACCCTACAACTGCCTACAGGAAGATTCATCATCCAATCTCCAATCTCAGATCTCCAAAGAGTTCACCAACATGTCCAATCGAGTCCAATCTCCAAAGTTCCCACAATGGACGTGTTGGATCTCCCAAGATCTCCAATCTCCAGTCAGTGATTTTTCTTTATATATGTATATGAGAAGCTAGTAGTAACAAGTGCATCGCTAGTAGTAACAGGTGCATCGCTACTAGGAACAAGTGCCTTACTAGTAGTAACAAGAATACTATATTTCTGGTTCCTAGTAGCGATGCACCTGTTACTACTAACATGTCCAAAGTTCCCATCCTGGCTGGACGATCTAAGATTCTGACACCCACGGGATGGTCCAGGTATGGTCTCACAAGTTCTCAAGTTTCCAATTGACGTGACCAAAGTGTAGAACTTGTGAGACAACTCACGGAGGGAAGACTATTCCCATATCGTTACTGGTGCCCACCCTGAGGAACAGGGTGTGTTGGTGATGGGGGAAGTGGCAATCTCCATCATCTACCATTTTTAGTATTAACCCAAAGATAGTCCCCAAGATACCCATGTGGACATGGCCAGGAACCGATTCAGATATCCTGGCAAGTCAGAAACGCCAGCCAAAGCCGTCTTGAGGGAAGATAGACCCCAGTGATAGCGAGTATATTCATTTTACGATGCATCCACCTACATCCTCAGAAGGCAGCATCCCCATACCGCATGAAGCCCCAGTTCCTCAGCAGGTATTTGGATTTCTACCTATAGACAATCACATGTATATAGAATATAATATAGTATAATAATGTATAATACAATACACTATAAAGACAAGTCATTGGCTCTTTGACACTGCCATGCCCTCCCCCGTGGCTCATTTGGGGATGCACCCTTCAATCGAAAGAAGCAGAAGCACCTTCCCAAGCGCCAGGTGCAGCGTGTGGTGGTGCGACATGGGCTTTGCCCTTGGGCTGAAGAGGCCCTCAGGCACCTCGACCGCTCCCTTTCTTCGTTGCAAAGTGGAATCTTTTCTCGGCCGCTCAACGTCGACGTTCTTTGGGTTCGCACGTCATCTCAAGTATACTGAGCAGTCCATCGACTTCCTTCGAACCGAGCGCGTTGGCGCACCGACGGCACCGTGCTGGACCCTCGACCGGAGCACCGACGACCGGATCACGACGCAACCGGTGGTTCCCACCCCAGAGCGCCTGAGCCGTTGGACGTTTGCTGCAAGCCCCAGCCTGACCAGGCTGAGGGTCGAACATACTTCATAGTGATCCCAAAACGGAAAGGAATTTGAGGGACGACTCATAGTCTTCACTACATTTGATTTGCGATGGACATGTGGAAACGGATGATATCTAGATCTACCCAAGCCAAAGTGCAAAAGATAAATTAAATCAACCAAAATACTTAACATATCTTTACACAAAATACTAAAATGCCAAAGATCTGAACTTGGGTGGGTGTAGACCGGTAGGGTGGCATACCAAAACTACCCCAAAATACTGAACCTACCCCAAACATCGAGACATATCACAAAAAGTCAAGGATGCCAACGGCCTGGTGACTTTTCTGGCAGGAGGGTGTGAAGATGTGTGAAGTGTATTGTTGTATTTTGTGTATTGTTGGTATGTCCTCCTAGCTGAAAGCATGTCCCTTAGATCTTTGGATTTGTTTGTGAATAGATTAGGTTTGTCACTCATAATTACGGTGAGCGCCTTTTTTGTGGACGCCCTCTTTGAATATGTCTACCATTTACAAGAGACTCCTCTTTTACCCGACGCCTCTTTTCAACCGTGTCCTCTATAAAAGGCTTCTCCTTGTTCTTGAAAGGATTTCTGCTGAGAAAGGCAGAAACTTTAGAGACCTTTGTCATTATATGTTCGAGTTTGTTTGCCTTCCTGGCACATCCAATGTTGGTTTCACATACAGCATTTTTGTGCAACATACACACGGTCACAGTCACACGCTCGCTAATATATATATATATACATATATATATATGATCACCCCCCCACCACGACCCCCCACATGGTGATTCCATTGTAATTTACAGTGAAAAATGACATTTCTTCATGTTCAAATTATGCATTCCATTCACATTGTGTTTGTATGTTAGTATCAATGTATATTACTATATATATTATATATACTATATATATATTATATATACATTATGTTATCTGGGGAGTGCCTTTGAAAAAAAATGCACCAATTGATGGAACAAAAAACTAACGAAAACCCAAAAATTGACCAAAACGTTCCGCAGCTCCATCTGCACAGGCCATCTGTTTTGCACAACTGCCTCCCCGAACGCCTGAGGAATGACCTTCTTGCTGACGTGGGCGACATGGTGCCAACGACTCCGCCGCAGCTTTGGGGCAGATGGCTGAATGGGGTCCTGGTTTCACCTTTGCCGGCTACGCCCCCCTTATCACACGGGACGCCCGAAGGGCCACCCCCACCTACACCTCCGGAGGCTTTTTTACCAGGTACACCTCCAGGGCTTCCTCCTCCAGGTGCTTTACCTGCCACCCCCCCGAAGCTTTTTTTACGACCACAAACACCACGTGCTAGGCTGGGGGGGGCGTGATGGATTTGTGAGTCTCGCACGACGAAAAAGAACGCTGATGAGCTTTGAGTCATGTGAAAGCTTGTAGCTCACAACTAACTCCACACAACTGCACAAACACATGTCCTTCAACTTCAAGTGAGCATGCACAATGTCTGTTGTTTGCGTCAGGGCTTCATTGCACTGCAAATGTTTTGTCTGCTTCTGCGCTTAGCACTGTCTGGCTGCAGCTGCTTGTCTCAATCTCTTTGCTATTCCCTCAAGTGTCTACCTTCCTTTGGCCAAGCATGGTTTCCATCGATGCTAGCGACATCAAGCTGCAGGATGCTATCGACGCCACCTCCGCTATGCCTCTACGCGACTTACCAGCTCACTGCCAGACCTTGACTCCAACTCTGTGGGGCTTCGCCACTTCGTGGACAAGGTGCTGGACATCGAGCCTTTTTAGGTGGAATGGGACCAAATTAAAGCCATTGTCAGAGACGATGCGTGGCATGAGCTACCTGTAGTGATGCAGTTCAAGGTACGGCCAGCCTTCGATTCCATCGTCCAGTACTTCTTGCTTCCGCAAACTGATGGGAAAGTTTGCCTTCTGAAGCATGTGCACGTTTCCTCGGACAAGATCAAGGTGAAGGGGTCCTACATCAAGACTCTGCTCCAGGGCCAAGGCTAGGAGCTTCAGTGGGGCGCGGCCAACAAAAAGCTTGCTCGTAAGGGCTTTCAATGGCTTTGAAAACAGCTTGGAGGAAGCCAGATTCAACAATACTCCTTGGGCCCTCAAGTGAGAGCTGTCAAGTCGAAGGCCCCCGAGCCAGATGAGGCGGCCTGGAACTTCTTAATGGAGCATGGTGAGATGGACAAGGTGGGCTGAAGCAACTCCGCTGGATACATGCTCAGATCAATGACCCCCAATCGCCCATCCACAATTGGTCTGAAAAGCTAGTCCAGCGTGCTTTGGACTCTTTGGCGAACGATGGCTTGCTAAGCTGTCCACCAGGTACGACCTCACCATGCATGATGTGCGCCCTAAGCTTCCTTCCTTTCCATTCTTCCGTCCTTTCTTCCTTGCCTTCTCTTTCGCTGTCCCGTGGCACGCTGCATGCAGCGCCGCTCGGCGCCCGCTCGGCGCGCGCTCGGCGCCCGCTCGGCGCCCTAAGCCATTCTTCCGTCCTTCTTCCTGGCCTTCTCTTTCGCTGTCCCGTGGCCCATTGCAGCGCCGCTCAACGCCCACTCGGCGCTCTGAGCGCCGCTCCGCGCCCGCTCGGCGCCGCTCGGTTCCCGCTTGTTTCGCGCTCGGTTCCCGCTCAGTGCCCTATAAGCGTCTTGTCTTTCCATTGTTCCATCCTTTCTTTCGGGCCTTCGGTTTGGTTGTCCCGTGGCACCCTGCACAGCCGCTCGGCACCCGCTCGGCGCCCTGAGCTTCCTTCCTTGCCATTCTTCCGTCCTTTCTTTCTTGATCTTTCTTGCCATTGGTTGTCCCGCAGCACCCTGACGCCCGCTCGGCGCCGCACTGTTCCTGCTCGGCGCCCTACTAATCTTTCCATTGTTCCGTCCTTTCTTTATGGCCTTCTCTTTGGTTGTTCCGCGGCGCCCTGCAGCGCCGCTCGACGCCCCCTCTGGCGCTCCGCGCCCGCTCGGGGCCGCTCGGTTCCCGCTCGGCGCCTTATGCTTGCTTCCTTTCCTTTCTTAATCCGCGCCGATTCATTCTCTTTCTTTCTTCCTTTCTTCTTTGCGTCGTTTCCCTTTTATATATATATATTCTTTTTCCTGATATAGATGGAAGATGATTGGGCTTGGACATGAACAGATGGTTCCATCTACTTAATCGATGAGGGCGGCTCACGCGTGCAGAGGAACCGCGATCCTGCCCGGGACACCGTGCATCTGTTAAGCCAACCCAACTCCTGTTTGGTTTTCACATGTCTGCTGTCTGCGCTACCTTTGGGTAGCCCTGTGAGTCGCAGCTTTTGCGTCCCAGGGTCCTGAACCCGAGCAACTGATTCTCATGATCTGCCCCGCTGCTGCAGGGACCTGTTTGCAATTCATTTGAAGTAATGGCTCTGCTGCAGACGCTACAAGCGAGCGTTGGGTTGTATATCTTGTTCAATCGAGCGTCAAATCAAAGAAACAGACCTTGATTTACATTGCGTGGACGCGTTACCTAATACACTGCATGGACGCGTTGCTTACGCCCGCGGGGCGTAAGCGATGCGGACCCTGAGGGAGCGATGCGCCAGCTCCGAGCAGTGGGACTGCGTTGCCGTCCAAAAGGTCGCGTTGCTTACGCCCGCGGGGCGTAAGCGATGCTCCTTGTTTTTTGGCTCTTGGCATTTTTTGGCTACATTTGGCACCCCGTGAAAAAGGGCAAATTTGTAGGACATGGAAAAAACGAGCGAAATTTTAAGACAAATATTTAAAAGGAAATGACAACAAAAAGCATAAAATCGGCGAACTGTCTGAAAACGAGCTCAAAACTGCTTTGTGCTTTTTTCGATTTCACAACTGCCATAACCGGCTAAATCTCTATATATATATATATATTTTTTTTTGGATGCCAAATGTAACCAAAAATCAAAAAAACAAGGAGCATCGCTTACGCCCCGCGGGCGTAAGCAACGCGACCTTTTGGACAGCAACGCAGTCCCACTGCTCGGAGCTGGCGCAACGCTCCCTGAGGGTCCGCATCGCTTACGCCCCGCCGCGGGCGTAAGCAACGCGTCCATGCAGTGTATTAGGCAACGCCTCCACGCAATGTAAATCAAGGTCTGTTTCTTTGATTTAACGCTCGATGTAACAAGATATACATTCCAACGCTCGCTTGTACCTGGACCCCTATCCGATGCTTTTTTGTTCTCGACCAGAAACAGGACCCAAAAAGATGACGCCAAAAGATCAAAAACACAGCCCAAACGATGCAAAATATGATGCAGAAAGTGCAAAATTTGGCGCCAACCTGTGTCGCACTAAATTCGTTCCAAAATTTGAAGAGACCAAAAAAATGGCGTCTCTTATAGGGGGTCCAGGTATTTACTTAGGCTCCTTTAGCGTTTATCTTGCCCGATTTGCAGACCAATGAACATGCCAGCGCCGCCCGTGCTCTGTGATGATTAGCTATTTGGTCCCTCGCGTCCCGGAAGTGGGGGTGAGCTCAAATGTCTCTATGTAAAACTCCACACCGGGTATAGCAAAAATACATCTTTCGTCACCTGCGAGGGTATCCTATAATTCCTTGAAGTGGTTTTAGCGTTTTTGGTGTTTGCATTTTCTTTTCCTCGCCTGCCAGATGCTGCGCAGAAGTTGAAGCTGGATCTTTGGAAGCGCAGTTGCAAAAGCCAGGTTCGAAGCTTGGGAGGCATGCGTGGCAGAGATGTTGCCCGGTGTTTCTGGTCATCTGGCAGAATGGAAAGCAGAG